AAGTCATCAACATAATTTGCTAATATTATAATGCAAAGTTCAAAGCCATAGTTCATCTAATTTTCCAACTTCAAACACCAAAGATAAAGAGACTTCTAATCAAAATTTCTAACATTCATTAACAACTCCCCAATGAGTGCAAGAAAAAAAAAATTAATTATCACAAATAGCCCAAAATGCAACAACTAGCAATGATCAAAGCAGGTGGAATAACAGCCTGAAAAAATAAACAAATTTAAATAAAGCAGAACACTGTCCAAACAGTGCCTGCCGGTGCACTTGGGAGCTATTTTCTGCAAGAAACTCAACTAAATGCTTATGGGCTGCACCAAACAACTTTCGCAGGCTTAGTTGCACCAGAGTCGAAGACCAGCGAGCACCAGCGAATGTCGTCAAAAGCTGAAAAAGATCCAGAGTTGAAGACTAGCGAACAACGAAGAAGGGAAAAAGAGGGATTTTATTTTTTTGGTAACCCTAGCCACTGAAACGACGTCGTTTCAGTGGTTATACGGATAAAAAAATCAGCCTCTGCCACAAAAATGACGTCGTTCCATCAAAAAAAATAAAAATAACTTTTGCACGTATGATGCGTATTGTATCATAAAAACGTATCGTGTATCGGACGATACAACACAAAAACGATGCATAACTATGATCCGTATCGTTTTAGGCCTGTATCGTAACGTATTGTATGATACTAACAACTATGCATAACAGAAATAGGGAGATACAAGTTACAATAAGTTCTTCCAACTTGCAAAGAATATATGTATGGCACATAATAAGTGGGGTTAATAAAACACCGCATTAAAATATCCAAAAAAATCCTAGTAGTTACATGGACCACCTCGGGGATCCATCCCGGAACCCCTAGATGCAACTTCTGGACGCTGAACTGATCAGGCTCCACACATAAGAGACACTTCAGGAAATAGTTTAACAATTGGTTTTGGTGTTTGACACAATTTAACCAAGAGAGTCTTTGGTGTTCCTGGATTTTTCAGAACAATATTTGAGCAAATTCCTTCCTTGACACTATTTAGATGGACTGTTTTTAATTAGGCTCCCCATTGGCATCTACTGCTGACCTTTTTCCCCGCAATTACAAAAACCTTGTGTCGGAGATTTCCAAATATTGTGGTCATAGGTTCTATTCTCTTCAAACTTTGAGGCAGATCCGCCCAATGGGCACTTCATTGGTAAGAAAATTCTCAAATAAGAACTAGGCTAGAGCATTTGAGAAGTTAAGTTGCATTTTTCTTTGGGGAAAAGCTGAAGTGTTTATGGTGTTTATTATTTCATTTGATTTTCCTTGATGCGAAATTCAAGTCATTCTTTTTTGATATTTCATTCTGCTGATGGCCATTGATAGTGACCTTTTTTTTTGGTAATTGCTTATATTAGTGTTTTACTATTATATCTGAGGAATCGTGGTCACAGTCTTATCTTATTCTTCTGGACAGGAATATGAAGAGAAAATGCGGGAAAAGGGTGAAGCGCCGGTTATGTTTAGGTGAAGAAGCCTCTCTTGTCTATGATCTATTTTGACATTTTGTGCAAAAGATGAATTATTGGTAAAATGTTTCCATCTCTTTTCCATTTGGCTTTACTTTTTCTGCAGTCATTTGGGGCCTCCTCGGAGGCGGACAACAGCAGAAGAGGAAGAAAGAGTCAAGCACCCAAAACCTGAAGTAAATTCTTATCTGGTTCTTGTTTGTTATTAGATGAAACCCTTGTACTTACACATGAACCCACATTTAGTGATTTATTGATGCAGGACTCAGTTTATTATCACCCTACACTGAATCCTACTGGAGCTCCTCCACCTGGAAAGCCTCCCATGTTCAAATCATCAATAGGTTTGTTTTTAGTTCTCTGTGGGCTTGTGTGTTTCTGTGTCTTGGTGCATGTCATGTGCATCTGAAACTGTTATCCTTTTCCAATTGCAGGACCCAGAATACCCTTATCAGCAGCCTCATCCAGTGGTGTGGCATCATCATCGATGTCAGAGTCAGAGGATGCTGCCTTATCCGTTCCTCCTCCTCCACCACCTCCTCCATTGCCTGATACTGCTGATATGGGCTCTGGAGATGGCTCTGTTATTCCCGCATCATTGCCGTTACCACCTCCACCTCCACCTCCAATGCCACCAAAACCTGCTGTTGCAGACTTGGCTACATCATTGCCTCCACCTCCATTGCCACCACCCCACCTGGTCCCCCACCTAAAGAACATGTTGCAATTCGCCCTCCCTTTCCTCCACCTCCACCCCTCCATCAGTCTGCTCAGCCACCTCCTCCTGGCACTGCTGGAAATGAAAGGGAGAAAAGTAAATCTGCAATAACTGATGATCCAATCTCCAAGGAGTCACTTCTGGTAAACCTTTCACTCAAATTCTTGAACCATTCTCCAGGACATGAAGGGATGATAGACTGTGGACTTGGTTTTCAATTCCCAAAGAAAAGACTATTTGAGGACAAAGTCGTTACTTGTTTCATACAGACTCTAAATCCACAAATACTGAAATGGTCTACTTGAGTTAATTTTTAAAATTACTGATGGCATATTTCTCCCTTTCTTGTGTGCAGGCAACAACTATGCTCCCTCCACCACCAGGGTTGCCACTGAAGCTGACCGATAATCAATCCGAAGGTGCATCAGCCGAATCAGTTGCCAAGAATCCTTCGGAGATGAAGGATATATCTCAAATGGTACCACCGCCCCCGCCTCCAAGGCAACAGCCTCCAGTGGCGGGACCTGCTCTGGTCCCAACTTTGCATCCCGATGTATTACCTCCAGGAATTTCACGGTTTCCACTACCCCCACCTCGGCCAGATATGCAGCGACCATTATCTGCTTCAGGGATTCCTGGCCAATCTGCTCCCCCAGGAATGATGGTCCCACTGATACCTGGGCCCCCTTTTGGACCTCCTCCTGGACATTTGCCTATGATGAGACCACCACTTCCCCCTGGTCCTCCTCCAATACCACAAGATGGTTATGTTACTGGACTACCTGTCCCTCAGAAGCCATCATATGTCAAATCAGCTGCTGCTACCGTTGTTAAGAGGCCTCTAGCTCAGCACACTCCCGAACTTACTGCTATGGTAAATCTCTTGTCTCTGCTGATTATACTTTTTTGCATCATCATTAACTGCGTTTAGGAATTCCTGATTATATGTTGTATTTTGTTGGCATGTTGCCATATGATCTTACCCATTTGGTTTTGCCTATTTGATAGTTTACATTTTCCTATAGAGTCTTTGAGGAATATAACTTGGTATATTTATATACAAGATGCTTGTACAATTTTGGCTGTTTGACAGAAATCTTGCATCATAGAGGTATGATCTATTGCTGGCAAGGGATGACTAGGACATGATGCTAGTGATTCAATGTGCTAGGATAAAACTATACTTTGAGGGAGATGGAAAATAAGACTTTAATAGGGTATAAGCAAATGGCAAGTTGAGTTCATCAAAGGAAGAAGCAAATGTAACTGCAGGATTTTTAAATATAATGTTGCCGATTCTATTAAAGATCCAAAAGTTTTGGAACATCTGTTCTACTTTCTATTTAATACTTTGCTAGTGTGGGGATTGTCATCCTTTTAGTGTTTATTGTGTTAACGAACTACTTGCAGTTTAAAATGTAGAAATGATATGGGAACACATTTCAGAGAGGAAGTATAGAAACATGTTCAATTTTTGACAATGTTCAACTGTTGTGATAAATAATTTTTGGCAACGTTCAACTGTTGTGATAAATAAAGTTGGCAGTTTTCGGGGTCAGATGATGCTGCACTCTGGAAAAGAACTACAGATAACGAGAAGAGGAAGAAGGACTGAGCGTTGAAATACAGAATTTTTTTGAGCCTAGAAATGCTTTGCCAGTTATAATATGTCAACTATTTACATTGTATTGAGCCTAGAAATACTAGGCCTATTGTAAATATGATCCATTGACTGATAATAATTTAGTTGATTAGAATGTTCTTTCCCTTAATTCTTGGTCTCTTTTTATTCTTCGTCTTTCCTCCTGTTCTTTTTTTTTCATTATTTTTATTTTATTTTTCCTCCGAGTGTGCTGTCATTGGGTGTCATGGAGTTTATTAGTTTCTGTGTACCATTCCCATAACTCATTTGTAAATTTGATCCAAAATGAATCATGTTGATTGCTAGGTAAGTCCTTCAGTGGCAATGCAAGTTCCACTTTGCTGCTTAGGTGGCTTTTTTGTGTGTTTTCTTTTTTTTTTTGGTTTGGGGGGAGAGGGGGGATTCTCGTTATTTGTTGGAGTTGCATGTGAACGTCATAACTCAAGTTCCAATGGCGTTGTGAACTACTATACTCTTAGACTTGAGGAAGTCTGTTAATGCATTTCAAAAAAACTAATTAAAATTGGTAGCCTGGCTCGCGCAATTTAGGTAATGCTCCTCTCTGTATTAATATTCTCATTGGAAGTTTTGTTGTCCCAACCTAAACCTTTTTCTTTCTTTGAGCACAGGTTCCTGCATCTGTACGCGTGAGGAGAGAGTCTGCCCTGCCCAAAGCAAAACTGAAGCCATCACTCTCCACCGTGGCACCGGCTACCCTGTCTCCAGCAGCTCCTGTTGGGAAACAAGAAACAGGTAACTCCTCATCAGCATTGAAACCACAAAGTATCGATGACTCGTATATGGCCTTCTTGGAGGACATGAAAGCGCTTGGTGCTCTTGATGGTTAAGCTGATTTATCCGGTTAGGAGGTGCAATTGGATCAATATAAGATGCATGAGATGAGAGGAAAGAAACACATACGGCCTAGTTGTGCTGGTTCGGGGACTTTTTTGGGCTGGTCCATATTTTGATTTTCCCTGCTATAATGTCTTGGAACCAATCTTATGGAGCTTCACTACACAATTTCTTCGTCTGTAGACTCATTTCTCGAAATCGCCTAAGGCGGGATTTCTCTCTCTAGTGCGTAACCTTAAAATTAAACCTCGATGAAGTAGGAAATTGTACCTTGTGAATTTTACAGAATTCGATATGTTTATGTTTCTCATTTTGTTCGAAAGGAAGGACTGTTTTTTTATTTGACTGTTTCTCCTTATTCCTGAATGTGGATGTCTCATGAAAATGAAGTGGTCACAGCTTGTCTTTGAAAGCATACAAGACATCGAGCTAGCTTTTCTCAAGATGATAGAAATGCTCTCTACTTTATTTTATCCCTTAAAAACCTAGTTTTCTTATATCACATTAGTGTGTACATGGGATGTCAGCTGACAAAACATTCAGCATCGGTAGGCGTCTAAATAAATTGGATTATGATCCGAATTTGATCCAAATTTGAATTCGTATAGTTGGATATGGATTAATATTTTTTTTATCGATAATTTGAACTTAAATTCGAATTTGATATTTTATATTTCATGAATTGAAATTTGGATATATCTATATTTGATCTTATTATAATTCTATATGAATTATTTATATATATTTTAAAAAATATTAAAAAAATAAGTTATTATTTAAAGAAATTTAGTTGAAATTTATGTATAATTTACAAAAATTTAATTAATTAAGTTATTTGAATTAGATTAGATTTTGGAATTGTTAACGGATTTTTATATGGACCACAAAAAAAAAAAACCATTAGATCAAATTTGGATTGGATTTTTGAAATCGGATTTAAATTTGGATCCTTCAGAATCTGACTCAAACCCGATTTGTCCACATACTTAAGTACCGGTGAGTAATTGGGGCACATTGTTATCATTTGAAGTCCAATTGTTATCTAAAATTTTTAATTTTTAGGGCTTAAGATGAAAATATCAAAAACAATTGGGAACAAAGTACCATAAAGCCTAAACAATTAGTTGTTCTAAAGTGTTAGACAATTTCTAATGGAAACTTCAACTCTTAACTAAATTTGAGTAAAAAAAAAATTTGATTTAGTATAGATTTCTCAAATGAAAAAATTAAATTTAAAAGAAGAGAAATTTAAATTTAAATTTAAATAAAGAGAAATTTAAATTTAAAAAAATATAAAATATGATCATTGAATTTTTGAAAGAGTGTAATATGAACTTAAAGAAGGACTTTCTTTCATTTGACGTGGGTATGAATTTAGTATTAAAAAAATATTTTAGATATTTTTACCTAAATTTAAATTTAGATAAAAAAAAAAAAAAAAAGGTAAGGTTTTATGATAACCCAGGTTCTGTTCATGGATAGTCAGAAATGGCGGGCTGACCACGCCGTCAACGTTGATCTCATTCCAAGAGTATATCTTAAAATTGGGAGTCCATTTAACAATACCATTCAGATGGGGTCTCTTTGACTTGAATCTCTTTGCTCGAGGCTTGTTTGAAACTCAACTCCACATAGAAATCAGCAATGACATATGAACTTAAAATGTCGATTTAATTAAATTATTGTCATTAATTTAATTATGAGTTTTAGTATTTATTAAAATTTATTATCTATTTAATTATTGTGATTGATTAAGTTAATATTTTAAATTCAAATAAAATTACTTGTAGTTGTACGATTGATTTGGATTAAAATTCGGTTTAGTGACTCTAATTATGTTTTAATTATCTTATTCAGATCCAATAAACACTGCGTTATGCAAGACTTCTATGAGTTTGGTTGAGGTATCTAAAGTTGCAACTGATTTGAATCAATTGGGCCTAAACATAAGATCAAGAGATTAATATTTGTTGAAAGTATATAATGATTTCTTAATCGTTTTTTCTTCTTTTGTATAATCAGGGAACCTACCATTTACAAACACAAATCAAGTAAATAGAGACTAAAGAATGTCCAGTGGCTTCACTTCACCCAGTTTCCAACAGTCACAAAACATTCCAAACATCATATCTGATAATGAATCTTCCCCCTTTCCATGTCAGCTTTTCCTTCCCTTTGTTATTTTAGCCACATTTATAAATCAGATGTTAAATCGACACAAATTTATAAGTCCAATTGGGTTGCATTCGTATTTGATAATTGTAATTATTATAGTATTCATATAATTGGAAACAGTCTTTCTACTTGTAACCAAAGGTTAGATTGTATTCATCTAAGCCTTCCTAAACCTCGTAATAATGGGTGCCTCGTGTACTAATTATGGCCTTCTTTATCACTGAATTGTTTATAGTTGTAAGGTTTGAATGCTCTCAGAACCCATGAGGCGCATTCAATGTGGCAAGGCACGTTGAACCAGCCAAGATCTATCCAGCCTGGGTTTAAGTGGAGAAACTACCGATTGTCTTCTCAACTACCCACATATTTATATTAGGAACACATCACATAAGTCAACTATGTAGATTGCCCACTTGATCTCTCTATCTCATTTAACAGAAAAATGTCAAATGCTCTTGTGAGAGAGAGAAAAAAAGGAAGTTTATTGGGAAAAGACAGCTTTTTTCCTTCTGGAAGCTGAGTTTAATAAAGGATTGATTGAAAGATAGGCAGATAATTGAGGGAGGGAGAGAGAGAGAGTTGCAATGGACAAGATGTTTCAAACCCGGAAAGCTTCTTGTCTGTGGATAATCTTATTTTGTCTCTTTGGTCAATCCAATGGTGTTTAAAAGTGGGATTGTGCATACCCTTTATAAGATTTTCATGGAGTAGTTGAAACTTGAAAGACAGTTTTTGTGCAGTTCTTGTTTACACTCAGATCGGTTGGGGGTGTCATGGTTGGGGGTGGTTTCATCATCCTCCTATTTGTAAATTTGCTGCAGCTACTTAATCCTTCTTTTTCACACCCTTTGTGTACTGATTCAAGTATGTTTCAGTGATTCAGTGTGAACTATTTCAATGGTTTTAGTTCTATATTGATGTTTTACTTGTTTATTAGCAATTGTTTATATCTGAATTTGAATTACTTTTGTCATCCTGGTTGATGTGATATAGGGGCACCCTACACCCCCAGGACTCCTCTGGGGTTCTGCCCTTACAATGGAACTGTGTGCTGCAACTCGGCAGAAGATTTAGGTTTGCAGAAACAATATGAAGCAATGAACATAACCGATGCTGGTTGTGCTTCTCTTCTCAAATCAATCCTCTGTGCGGTATGAACTCAACACGAAATTGTTCTTCTGACCTGTGAATTGTGAAGTGTGAATTGTTTGAATTGTATGATATTAACAACACTGTATTAGATGTTAATTGGGTAAAAGCCTGACCACCTTTGTTTATTCCATAAACATTATTAATTTAATTGGAAAATATCTCAATATTTCTATGAATCTGAAGCTTAAGAGCACCTCCAAAGGGAGCTGCCATTTTGGGGTGCCAAATCACTCATTTGTAACCTTGAACAGGGTTTGACATTCCTGAATTATAAATCTGCTCCAATGACCAGTGCCAAAATGGGATGCAATTTTCATATTTTTATTATCAATTTATATGAATCGTTGGATCTATATTCATCAACCCATTTGCAATTTCTCCCTTTGTCTCTCTAGAGTTGCCAAAAATGCCACCCCAAGAGCCTTGATGCTATTTTCTAACCCTTGGAGTGAATTTTTGAATTTGGGGTGGCATATGGGGTTGCCACCCTTGATGCAACTCCCCCTTGGAGTTGCTCGAGATTGCCAAGGAAGTTCTTCCAATAACTGAATAATTGAATGCTTGCCCTTTTGACAAATTACTGCTAAAGACTGAAAGCCTGACCACCTTTGAAACTTTATACTGAACATTAGAGGATCTCCATTCAAGCCATTAATTTTGTTTTTTGTGAGTGTTATATGTTAAATCAGTGCAAGATTAATCACTCCTGTTTATTTTTGTATATTCATTGTTTACAGAAATGCGATCCGTTTTCAGCAGAACTATTTACGGTTAAGTCCGTTCCAAGACAAGTTCCTCTACTCTGCAACTCTACCATTTCAGCAAATTCAACACAAACTAACCAGCCAAAAAGTGATTTTTGTGTTGAAGTATGGGATACATGTCAAAATGTGTCTATGATGAATTCACCCTTTGCGGCATCATTGAAAGGTCAAGGTGGAACTCCAGTTAATTCCAATGTTACCAGACTGACTGATCTCTGGCAGTCAAAAACAGATTTCTGTAATGTTTTTGGTGGACCTTCTGTTGATGGATCAGTTTGCTTTGATGGTGAACCTGTCACTCTTAATACAACAGGAACTCCAAGCCCTCCAAGTGGTATGTGTCTTGAGAAAATAGGGAATGATTCTTACCTCAATCTCGCCCCTCATCCTGATGGGTCTGGCCGCGCCTTCTTCTCTAACCAGGCGGGTCAAATTTGGTTGGCAACCATTCCAAAACGGGGTTCTGGAGGAACACTGGAGGTTGATGAATCCAATCCCTTTCTCGACCTAACCGATGAAGTTTATTTTGATACTGAATTTGGAATGTTGGGTATTGCATTTCATCCAAACTTTCCCCAAAATGGGCGTTTCTTTGCTTCATTCAATTGTGATAAAACAAAGTGGCCTGGATGCTCGGGAAGATGTTCGTGTAACTCGGATGTGAACTGTGATCCTTCAAAACTAGGCACTGATAATGGTGCCGCACCATGCCAATATCAAAGTATTATATCAGAGTTTACAGTCAATGGTACCGCATCCAAGCTTTCCTTGGTACATATCCATATATACTTCAAATTTGTCTTGCTCCTACCTCCTTTTACTCAAAGGTGATAATGATTCTTGATCTTTTACCAGGCTACAAGTGCCCAACCATCAGAAGTGAGACGGATATTTACAATGGGCCTTCCATTCACAGCTCATCATGGGGGTCAGATTCTTTTTGGACCCACTGATGGATATTTGTACTTCATGATGGGGGATGGTGGCGGTGTAGGCGATCCTTACAATTTTGCTCAGAACAAGAAATCATTGCTTGGAAAGATTATGAGGCTTGACATTGACAACTTTCCAAGTAAGTATTACACAGGATGGTTCAAATATAAGATCAGTTAATATCAACTTCAGTTGATAGAAAAGTTACTAGCCTACTGCATTTTACTTCTTTCGATATGTACTCCATAAACCAAGTTTTTTTCGTTTGAAAATGTTAACTAGAACTTATGTTCCAACCTAATGGGTCACACCTTCCTTGATTGCCTTCTTACTAGTCATTGCTGCCCTACTTGAAGCACAAACTGGTAAGGCACTTTTTCTGGAAACCAAGTTACTAACCCTTGATTTTGTCTCCATTAGATGAGACCCTGTATGTTATTTGTTCTCTGGAAATTCCACTGTGTCATTCGCGTCCTTTGCATGGTTGCACTATTATACGTCGTGACATGTTTTCTGCAAAGCCTGTAGTTGTACCTATAACCTGGTTTTCTTAAGTTGAATGTCATTGTGCATCCTCATAATGTGACAAGTCAAGTTTGATCATCAGCATCGTACCACATCAGCATTATATTCTTTTTTGATGGAAAGAAAGTCGGGAAGACTGAGTGTCACCTTGCGGCTACATGAGATGGCTTGTTATTGTCATTTTAACGCTTATAATTTATCGAAGTATGCACACAGCATAAGATTAATTATTCTGTTAGGCTGTGAAAATGAAAGTGTCATTCCAAAAATAAGGAATAGCATATGATGAAGAATGCCGTGGCCCTCCTCATTGAGACTTTGATAATGTTAATTTGTCAAAATCAGCACTAGGCACAAGATGAATAATTCTGATCCTATTTATATGAAAGTGTCATACTGAATATGATAAGGAATGATTCTCCTGTGTATTGACAAAGATTGAACTGCCTCTATCCTCATCTAATCTCAACTGTTCCTGAAATCAACTGTCACTCGCAGCCTTAATTTTCAAAAACTTTTCTTCATTTTCTCTATTCGATATGCCACTTTAATACGGTTGATTTCACACTTGAGTTTTCATGTACTACCAGCTGCTGCAGAAGTTAGTCAGCTTGGTTTATGGGGAAACTATTCTATCCCCAAGGATAATCCATATTCTGAAGATAAGGAATTACAGCCTGAAATATGGGCCATCGGATTAAGAAATCCTTGGCGGTGCAGTTTTGATTCTGCGAGGCCTTCTTATTTCATGTGTGCAGATGTAGGGCAGGTATTTGACCATATCCCTCAGTTAAATGCTTCTAATATTATCAGTTTCATACAAACAAAGCTTATGATTGACTTAACTAATCGGGCTAGGTCCTGTTGATCCACTTGTTGCTGGGAGCCTGCTTTGTCCAGAAATCTTTATCATTTTAAGTGAAGCCTTAAGTTGAGTTTTTGGATTAGAAAAATTGAATATCCCTTTATTTCATACACACACACAGAGAAGTTATCCATGGCCATGGGTCATCTGATGATAAATTCCCACTACAATTCATCAATATGCTTCACAGCAGTAGCATTGAGAGAATTTCTTTCTTTATTTTCGACTATAATCAAGCAATTTCCAGATAGAGATGTTATTGGGGAATCTGTTGGAACTTACGTAGGACTGCACTCAGCTGGTCCCTTATCCAAACTTCTACCTGTTAACCAAAAACCAAACTACTCTTATTCAACCCCCTTTCTCAAACAGACTGAAAGGATTCTGAAGAGTCCAGACACTTTCCTTGCTCTCAGAACTTCAATCCTTCTTGTATTTGCTTAATTTAGTATCATTTAATATATCAAACGATGAAGTATAAAGATTCTTTTTTTGACTTGTAAGTTGAAATAAATGCGATGCAATTTTCCATAACACACCTTCATTGGAGACATCCAAGTACAAGCTTCAATTCCATAGACATTTTTTTGACAAATATACAATTGTTATATCATAGGATCAATATGAAGAGGTGGATATCATCACCAAGGATGGGAATTATGGATGGCGTGTTTATGAGGGCCCCTACCTATTCACTCCCCCACAGACACCTGGAGGAAATACATCTGTGAATTCCATAAAGCCAATTTTCCCAGTGATGGGATATAACCATTCTGATGTAAACAAGAATGATGGTTCAGCCTCAATCACAGGTGGATATTTCTATCGGTCAACAGCTGATCCTTGCATGTATGGAAGGTGTGTGAGCTTTTCTTAATTTGGTCATAAACGGTTGAAATCTATACTATTCAATTGTATATATAAGAACTTATGAGACATTTCAGAGTAATATCTTGGCAAGCCACATAAGAAGTTCTACTTTTCATCTCAGTAACAAGTTCATGGATTTTGCAGGTATTTGTATACGGATCTTTATGCACAAATCATATGGGCAGGCACTGAAAACCCCGAAAACAGTGGAAACTTCACCACCGGCCCGATTCCTTTTAGTTGTGCTAATGATTCTCCTATAAAATGTAGCTCTGTGCCTGGAAGTTCACTTCCTGCTCTGGGTTACATTTTCTCATTCGGGGAGGATAATAGTAAGGATATATTTCTTCTAGCAAGCAGCGGCGTGTATAGAATTGTTCCTCCAAGTCGGTGCAATTACGCTTGCTCAAAGGAGAATGGCACTGCTGTTGTGACCCCAGGTCCTTCTGCTTCACATCCTTCAGTAGCAAGCCTGTTGATGAACCCATACACGAATTTGGTGCTGCTGTTGTCTTTTCTTTGGCTTCTTCTGCAGGGTTTTGTATAGTATGTAGCAAATGTGAAATGGTGCATCTGGTGGAGAGGTATTGGATTCTTGTACTATGAAATATCCTCTCTCTCTCTCGTTTTTAGGGGTTGATTGCAAGAGATGTATCAATTGCTTTTGTATTTTTGGCGATGGTGTATGATAAGTTGGTACTATATTAGAATCTGAATCCTCTTTAGTTTCAATTCCTTTTTTGGTCAGTTATGAAACAGTACAGGGCAAAACCATTGTTAATGGTACAAGAAAGTCGAAACTAAGCAGGATCAGTAAGCTACCCAACCTCTGATCTAGCTTCTCTGGTACATATATCTCTATAAGATGCTTTGGAGGAGATGATGATCAATGAGGAGGGTGGGTTCCTAACTTGGTTCAAACTTCTATCCAATATGCAGCAGAATTGCACCTTAATTGTCTGAAACTGCACCAAGTAATTGCTGGCATAATTGCATATATTATACAGGACACTCTCCAGAGGGCGGGCTTTGTGCAACGGTAAAGTTGCAGAGGTAGAATTACGTACATCTAACCCTCCCCAGATTCTATAATAATGGGAGCTTTATACACTAGGTACGTCTTTATACAGGACAATCTCCACTTCTCTAATAAACTGGATGGGCCATTGTTACTGGGGTTCATCAGGACTTTGGAACCAGATTCCATGAACTCAATAATATAATATTATAGTCAAATCCAGATTTTCTTCAGAATACTTTGTATATTTTCTCTGACTATTACATCACTTACATGTACTAGCGTGGAATCGACATATAAACAATGGGTTTCACTGGAATTTATGACGGTGGAGAAAAATTGAGAATTATTTGCAAAAATGTTTCAAAATATTTTGTCAAAATATACCGAAATATTTTGAAACACTTCACAACATTCTAGTGTAAAACATGTCGAAATATTTCAAAGTATTCTGAAACACCTTAAAATATTAAAATTTTAATTTTATTACTGTTTTGTTTCGATCTATGAAAACGGAAACAGAAATGTTTTGACCAAATTTTGATCCTTGGACCAACTCAACTAAAACCAAATTGGTTCAACTTGTATATAAATTGGAGACCCTTTATTTTGCCGAAGATTTGATTAAGTTGCCTTCGTTGGTGTGCCATTTTTTTTTATTTCAATTCTACATATTTAAAGATGACCATGGAGCATTATTAATTGTATTTTATAACTATTAAACATCAAAAGAGATTAATTAAATTTGTGTTGACACATTTTATTTAACAAATCTAACAAGTTTCACCAGTTTACCACTTAAACTCGCTAAAACTCGATCAAATCCCACTAATTCCATCCTAATATCATATAAGTGTATTTCAAGCTTGCCCTACAACACACCAAAAAGATTACGATATTGAAAAAACCACCGTTCAAGGCCAAACTACATTTTGCAAAAGTACAAGTTACAACACTATTCATGATCGATTATGAATAACCTCAATTAGTTGTAATTTCATTTTTAAGTTGTAATGAAAAAAATTATAACTTAACTTTAAGACATCGTAAGTATTGGGACATAATCAACTGTCCAGTGGTTGTGTTTGTCCTTGGTAACTCAGAGATTTTAGGTTCAATCTCTTCTCACCTCCCTTACGGGTTAGCCACTCTTGTCCCTTAAAGGGGTGTTTCGATAACCATCACAGAATTGGGTTGGATTGGATTTTTAACCCAATCTTATCTAACTCAATGCAAAGTAATCCGGCCTTTTTTGGATCCAGCGCACACATTCCGATCCGATCCCTGTTTTGGATAGAGATAATGTGAATCGTGGGTCTCATGCACATGTCTAGATAAATAACCATGAAATGACAATTGCACCCTTAATATGAAAATATAATCCAATCCTATATCAAGTTTGTATGGCCAGGGTGGGTAAAAGTGGTTTGGATGAGTAGTAATTTGAAAAAATTTATGTCATTAAATAACGAATGCCATAAATTAAGTAATATTTATTTAGAAGAAAAATTATAATGTAGTATATAATATAGAGTATAATCAATTTATTAATATTTATTTTTCTGCTTTGTTTAATTACACGAGATCAAAAAATTGGAAATTTTTTTAATTTATTTTAAACACATAATTGCCGGTAACAAAAACCCCAATTGTCGAAAAATTAAAAAAACTGAGATAAACAGAGTGCGACTGGAAAAATAAAAAAACAGTTCAGTATGTCATCCATGGCCGCACATAAACAAAAATGAAGAAAATGCAATGTGCAGAGGGAAAGAGAGAGAGAATACTAGTGAGTGGTGGGGAGGAACTGGTGAGGTGGACAACAAATGGTAAAGTTTTTTTAACCCTAGTTCTGAGTGTTGAGGGCAATACTGTCAAATGACATGTTATTCCATATGTGGTTTCATTTGAGTAAATGAATCCCACATGCCTGGTGGGTTTCATCTATCGAGTTCAAAGGGGATTAGTTCATGCATTCCTACGGCCGAGTAATTCAATCCCCAACATTTATCTCATTGCATTTTTTGGATCTAAAGTCGGGGTTTGTGGGTCCTCAGATTATTTTATCCAATCCAACTTATCTTATCTCCCTTTATCCATCAAATCAAACACCCCCTAAAAGACATGCTCTAACTTTGCATGCCCTAAGAGACATGCTCTAACTTTGCATGCCCTAAGAGACATGCATTGAATTTTAATCAACTCGAATTTGATACAAAAAAAATATAAATTTTAATACGTAAAAAAGAAATTTTAATCAATTTGAATTAAATTTTAATAAGTAAAAAAATATAAATTTTAATCGATTCAAATCGAATTTTGATGAGCGCTAACAACTCAAGTTGAGCTCAAATCGACTCGAATTTTAATACGTAAAAAAAATAATTTTAATATATAAAAAATAAATTTAATTAGCTTGAATCAAATTTTAATATGTAAAAAAATAAATTTTAATCAGCTTGAATTTTAATATGCAAAAAAATAAATTTTAATCTGCTACAATTTTAATTGAATTTTATTTAGAAAATTTATTTGGGGTTTATGTAAGGGCAATTTTTGTATTTTAGATGAATTTTTTTGGTTAGAAATAGTGGTTTAATGACAAGTGGTGTTAGTGATGTTTAAATATAAACTAGAAGGCGTGTCAGTGATGTTTTAAAGGAAGTGTTCTTAAAGATATGATAAATTAAAAAGGTCGGAACTAAAATTTTTCTAAAAAAGATGATAAAAGTGGGGAGGGAGAAACCGGTGGATAAATGTGGAGAGAGAAACTAAAAAAGAAAAAGAGGAATGTTGACAAAAACTAAATGATTAGAGTCAACAAATAAATGAAGAGAGAGAACGTTCTCCCTTATTGATTCCTTTTTTGTCTCTTGAGTGTGGATGATGATGTTCATTCTATGTGTACATGATTTTTGTGCTCATGTTCCCCTTCTGTGAGAGTTTTGTCAGCAAATTTCAATGGAGAGTTATAGCACTGATAGACTTTGCACAAAGAGTCATTCCGTGCAATCACATTGTTGTAATTTTTGCCAGTTTCATAAGCACTAGGACAGTCGCACCATCGACAAATTCAATCGTCATAATTTCTACCAGAGTCATAGCAGCGGCAAAATTAAATCAACGCAATTTCTGCCAGTTCCAAAAGTAGCAAGACAATCGTAACACCCACAAATTGAACCGCTGCAGTTTCTACAAGTTCCAATTGGACAATCATAGCACCGGTCCAAAGAAGCCACAACTTGTGCAAATAATTTCATTGTTCAATTCAAGATTGACACTTCTTTCACGTGCAAATAATTCTATTGTTCAGTTCAAGTTTGACACTTCTTTTACGCGCAAATAATTTCATTGTTCAATTCAAGTTTGACAATTCTTTCACGTATAATTGTATTAACCAGAGAGACATGTTAAAGATCAACATAATGTGGGGCCATTAGTAACGTCAAAAATAGTTGTCTGAAAATAAAGCTAGAGATACACATAGTTTTGGGTTTTGAGCTATTGGCCTTTGAGTTGCTTAATAATCACTAGTCATATTCATTATCTTTTTAAAAGGATACAATACTAAGGATCTAATTATCATGGTTCATTGGAGAAAGTGGTGTCTCTTTCCACCTGTCACTTCGAGCAAAGATTTAATTAGGGGTGTAATTTATGCAAGTCAATCAGAATTTGCCTGAAATTTACCCTGGGTCATCGCATCTTCTATTAGGGGTGCAATGAGTTTATTTTGCCCCGTCGTTGCTGATTGGACATGGGTGTTTGAAAACTAATGTATATGAAAGTGTTTCTGAAACGGTCAACCCGTTTGATCTGTCTGAACCACCTTGACATCGATCCCATCGATTCAAGTGCTAAGCTGCTATACGATCTGCATCAAGAACTTAGATCATGAAAGGAATTATCATCAAATTGCAAAGGCCTGACTCGAGTTAAATCTTGCATGAATATTGTTAGATCCTACTCTGATTACATTTGATCTTCTTAGACTAAAATTTCTACCAACAGGACAAAACTATGATGGACTACGGATGCAACTGGGGAGACATGTTAACTCGAATCCAACTCAATCTAAACTGAAGTATATTTTTTACATAAACTAAGAATTTTAGTATTTGAGGTAAACTTTAGTAAAAGAAGATTTTAACTCAGACTCAAATTCGAACTGTACTCGGCTTCGAGTCTCAAGTTTTAAGAATTCAATCGAAACAAACTAGAGTTGGTGAATTTGGATTCACACGAATTGAACCTAATTGCCACCCTAAATTTTGTAGGCGTAGAAGTAAACATTAATTTCAACCCAAATTAAACCGCAAAATAAGACAAAGGAAAGGGAAGGGACTTATCATACCATTGTTATTTTCTTGCTAGATAAATTTATTGTTTTCAATTTTATCACTTGATAAATATTTTGATCCCAAAAAATGTGGATCAATCATTATTTCATGCATTTCATTGATCGAAGGTTCAAATGTTAGTACTTAGTTGACTGTATTACATTGGTTTTGATGAAGAGTTTGGGTAGTGGAGTGTAGATCTATATGTTGAAGCAGACTTCTAGTGGATTTGTTTATTTTGAGATTGTTTATGCATTAAACTAATGTTATTTAGATTTAATTTACTAATCTATTTTATTTATTTGATTATTTAAAATTATTGGATCGATCGTTTGTCTCAATATTTTTTAGAACTCGCTATTATTT